ATTGTTGGAATTTATCTTCCAAGTGGCCAATGTACAGGAGCTATTCTAAAGTGTATGCATGCATACGTTTATTTCTGTGTGTGTGTGTGTGTGTGTGTGTGTGTGTGTGTGTGTGTGTGTGTGTGTGTATGTGTGTGTGTGTGTGTGTGTGTGTGTGTGTGTGTGTGTGTGTATGTGTGTGTGTGTGTGTGTGTGTATGTGTGTGTGTGTGTGTGTGTGTGTGTGTGTGTGTGTGTATGTGTGTGTGTGTGCCTACGTGGGCGATGGTTGATGTGAGACACGAGTCACCACTCATATCTGCTTCTACAGCCACTCTGCTCCCTCTTGAATGATCCTCCCTCTGCACTAAATAAAACATAGCCTTTTTACATTTGTTACAGTGAGAACACACAGCCAACGCATGTCTTTGGGACTGGGACATGGGGAGGACGACGGGAGGTTGTAACGAAGCAAATGACTACAGCAATTAAACACAGTAACTACCTGTCCCGAGCTGAGAGCTGTCCCAGTTCCTTTCCATTACACTGAACTCCATATATTATAACTGTAATTATAATTGCAAACAAGCCATACTGTAATCATTATTTATGGCACGACACTCAGCGTAATTGCCAACCCCCCAAACCAATATGAGAGGCCCAGCTGAAGTGTTTATCAAAACTGACAGGTGTAATCTCAAGGGCAGCGAGGAGGTGGCGTGCCTGCGTTGGCTAACCATCCTCGAAGGATTTGAACCTGTGACCTCTCAGTCCCCAGTCTGGCCAGATACGGCTAACTCTATAGATGCAGAGTTCAGCTTCAGCCTGGCAGGTCAAGGGGTCACCAGCTCAGGGGTTATTCATCTCTGTCTAACCTGTAATTGGAAATGCTGCAAAACCCACAGTATGAGGGCACTAATGAATTCAACTCAACATTCCATCTGTTTGGGTCTTGTAGTATTGCCACTGATATCTGCCAGCCCTTAAATGAACAGTTTACTCCTACCTTCAGGATGGAGATATAGATTACTCAGAGCCAGGTGCAATGGATTGACATTTTCTTTTTTGGAGCTCACTTATTTTTGCAACATTTGTAGTTAACAAAAAGACCCAGATTGTACAGTTTTCGTATTGTTTTGTTAACTAATGTATCTTTACTTCCAGCAATGTATTTTTATTGTGTTACTCTTTGTAAATCACATTTCCTCTTTTTAATCTATTTTACTGATGGATAAGTCTGCTCTGGTGTGTCTGTTTATCCATGCTGCAAGCCAAATGCTGGGAAATAAAGACTGAAAGGGACTGTTTTTTGTTTACAGGCCTTGATGTGGATCCTGAAATTCAATGAGAATAATGTCAGTGTTGGTTCGGTATGACATCTTAGTTATTTAAATCAGTTAATTGAAGTGAACTTTTCAAGAACTACATTTTTCAAATGTTTTTGTTACTTTTATAATAGAAAACGTCAAGATTGTTCTCACTCTAATGCCATTCACCATAACATCATTTCCCTACTTTACTATACCCAACAACACTGGAATATAGAAAATAACATTAATCTCAGAACTCTTCTTCAGTATGCCATGTTTTATTCAGCCAGCGGTATCAGGTTGATAATGTTTCCATACAACACCACATATTTTCCATCAGCACCTGACTTTGCAGTCCTAGTTCAAAACACAGCTAGCTTTTCTTATAGTGCTATCTTGGATGTGCAAGACATAGATTCAGAGGAAAGTCTCGAATGCGCAGCAGCACAGGCCACCACAGAGCAGCAAGAGAAAAAGAAAAAGGGAAACCCAAGGGAGAAACATTCAGACCACAGACCCACTCCAGACTGGATAAACCTCCAACCCTTGTCCCTCAGGCTCTTGAGGCAAAATCCAGGCCCTCTCACTCCAACACTTGCAGATAAATTAAACCTGCCAAAATGGTAGAGCATTTGTAAGCCAAACATGGAAAACAACAGCACACAGAAACCATGGATTTCAAAGGGAGGGAGAAAAAGCAGAGTCCCCTCCAGAATAGGAGCGCAAGGCATCTGTTGATGCTGGCATCTCCTTTCTCTTCATCTCCAAGCCAAGACTGGTGATCCAGCCGAGTGTGTGTGTATCTGTGTGTGTGAGGGGGTAGGGACGAAAGAGAGTGGCTACGTGCTAACATGTGCAATGTGCATTGACCCCACTTGGCCCCCATATGTTGCTAAAACAAGAAGGATGGCGAGCTACAGTATGACCCCACCTGTTTTCACCTGTGTTCCTGCCTTGTACACTTCCTCTTAGAAGAACCTCCATCACAGCAGCGCATGTTGGTGGGAAGACCCATCTGTTAGACTGTTTGAACATGAGTGACATACATGTACTTTACACAGTTGCTTTTTTCTGAAAATATACCGTGAATGGATATCTGTAAGGCAGAAATCAGTTTCTTTAATATCTAAATGTAGCGTTGATATAGTATCCTTTGATATATAACCTTAAACGTCCTCTGCTGTGACCTACTGTATGTAGCCCTGTTAGCAGAAGCAATTTCTCTTGTCATCTTCACTTCTCACCGAATCAATGACAGCATGATTCTTATTATCCAATCATGCAGGTTTCTGTCATAACAGAAATCCTTTGAGCAGAGGGTAAATTGTTTAATTTCGTGTGGAGGTGTGTGTGTACACACACTCCCAGTCTTAACGTTTAATCAGCCTCACGGTGTCTCGTCTCGTAGGTAAAGAAGGTTTTGATTAATTACAGACAGCTTCTGTGCCGGAAATGCACAAATATTCTGCTGTATTTTAGAGTTTCCTGGAAAATGAGAGAGAAAAAGGAGAATAACTGTGGAGGGGAAAAGCGTGACAGTATCTCATGAACTGGTTTGTACACTCGCACACCAAGCCAGCAGGAAACCTTGAATAGCCTAATTCTGTTTGGCAGCAAAAGAAAAATCCCTTTTTCAACCTGGTAGTGAGTGTACAGGTCTGAAAGACATTTTACTTTGTGTTCCTGGGGGGTATGAGAGATACAATTGGGCTCCCTCTTAATCATTATTTGTTGTGCATAATGTGAAGTTGCGTGATTATCACTGTCAAGATGGAAAAACATGTTATGGGGATAAAATAATGGGATTTTGTGTTTTTGTCATTTACCGAGCATAAAGAACACACACAATTTTCTTCACAATGGTGGTAGAGCCTTAAAGCAACCACTTACCACACTGGCCTGACTCTTAGAGGCACAGATACAAAGGATAATTTCACTGCTGCATGATTTATCAAGCAGTGGACAGTGCCCTTTTAACAGTCATGTACTTCCTTTATAACGCATGCTTTCTACCTTAAAATACGGACGTGTTGTGGACTTACAGCAGGAGGGATCCCACTCCAAATTTGATTCACATGTGCTGCAATGTGCACAACTCACATCAATAACCAATCATTCCTCAACTGCTGCTTAATGATTGGTCACACCTTCACATTGCAAAAACCCACAGGTTACAAATGCAGAGGGCTGAAAGCTGAAATGAGACTCAGTGTGGTTGTAGGGTTGGTCTGTGCGCTGCTGGAGACATTGTGTGTGTGTGTGTGTGTGTGTGTGTGTGTGTGTGTGTGTGTGTGTGTGTGTGTGTGTGTGTGTGTGTGTGTGTGTGTGTGTGTGTGTGTGTGTGTGTGTGTGTGTGTGTGTGTGTGTGTGTGTGTGTGTGTGTGTGTCCTGCAGGGCTGCCCGTCTGCTCTCTGCCTGTTGTGGAGAAGGGGCTTGCTGTGGCAAGCCAACCGTGACCAGCTGGGCTCCCCTGCCCACAAGTAGCTCAGGAGCAGGAGGCTACAAACCGTCTGCATCTGCACGTTGTTAACCTCACATCTTATTGCACTGACACATCAATTATTGTTATTAACGGCAGGAGTAATTTATTTATATACTGATTTCCCACAGGATGAAGGCATGTCTAATTGAGCCAGGTGTGTGTATTTGTGTAGCCTATGTGTTCATGCTAGATAGGCAAAAGGAAATTAGAAAACATGATGAGAATGGCATGCACAACTAATATATGGTGGGACATCCCAAAGCATGGTGAGGATATTAGAGGAGGAAATGATGAACAAATGCAGGTGGGTTTTAAGTATTCCCTGGTCAGTAATCCCTGAAGACAACAACAACACAACTCTGTTTGTGTCATACATAATGAAGCAGTTTAAAAGGACATCTTCTCTGGAGAAAGTTATGTAGATGTTGTAAAAGAGAAAATCAATGAAGAGCGTTTGTCTCCTTTGCTGTGCTGTAGGGAAGATGATTTAAGGCAGGAATAAAAGAGACAAATTCAGGCTTCACTACCCAGTGCATGTTTGACCCCCTTAGACCCCCCCTCCCCCCCAACTCCCACAACTGTCCATATTTTCCATTTATCTCTCTCTGTCTCTCGACCTTGGTTTTGAAGAGAGAGAACAAAACACTGTCTTTCCCTCCTGAGTCTCTCTGCATTGCTTCTACCCATACTTACATGAAGCCCACCACCAACACCCCCCCCCCCCCCCCTCCCCCTCTTTGCACTGGTGGTGCGTCGTGTACGTGGGAAAGCAGCCCCATTCAAGTCACGTAAAGGAATGTTCACTGAGGACTGGGGGGTGGGAGCCTATTTTTTCATAGTAAACATCTTAACATGCATCACTCGTTGCTTACACTGAAACCACGAGGTTGGCTTGGAGATGAACCTGGTGCTGTGCGCTCGCTCTCACGCACACACAGACGCATGCACGCGCACACACACACACACACACACACACACACACACACACACACACACACAACATCTCTTTCTCTACATTTCTGTCTATCTCTGCGTGAGCAAATGGAAAACTGAAGCGCAGTGGTACAGCAGACACGCGTGATTCACGGGCAGGTAGACCCCCCCTTCATCATCATCATTAGTATTCACCTCCACAACCGTTTTCCGAAAATGAAAGGCGAAGATACATGCGTAGAGGCGCATCAACACAGAAACGTGAGCACATCGCTAAAGTAGCTCGTAAGAACTTACCTTTCGACAGCAGCACCAGGATCAAGCCAGCAAACGCGTTCCGCAAGAGGGGGCAGCCCATGATGGAGTTCTGATTGATTTTCTGCTTGTTTTTGCAGCCAAATGCCTTGGTATTCCTCCTTTATGTTGCCGTTGCGGGGAAATCGGTGTAAAAAAACGACCCAGTAATGAATGTCTATTGCAATAGTCCAACGCTTCTACATGTGACTGGACGAAAACACCAGTCTTATCCACTTGACTTTTTCCTTCTGATGACCCGCGTCAGAGATAGAGGCGAAGAGAGCTGTTTGTCTTCTCCTGTGTAGACTCTGACAACCAGAAATGACCAAAGCAGGGGAGAAAAACAAATATCCCACACACTTAGTTTGGCTCTCAGTGCCTTGGAGAAAAATGTTTGAGAAAATGCATGGGAAGAAAAGGTGACATGTAAAGTGTCCAATGAATTGACAGGAATATGTTTTTTGTCAGAGAACAGGATGGGGTCTGTGCGTCCTGACCAGTCGCAAGTCTCCACTTGAGCTTAATTAGCCTGCTCCCGTGTGTCTCTGTTGGTATGCAGCGCGTCTCGTCGCTCCGCACTCAGCGCGTCGCAGGGAGCAGCAGTGAATGCGAGGCGCACAAGAAAGAGCATGATTGACAGTTCAAGGAGAGCCCCTTTCTCCCAATCACCGGCCCCAAGGAAGGAGGCGGGATGTACGATTGCACCGATGTCCCGTTTGGGGAGGCTGGCCAAGGAGCCTCAGCGGCCAATCGGAGGCGCGCGATGGGCGGGCAGAGCGCGAGGCGAAGCACGGCGCGGTGATAATGCAATGTGATTTATAGCCAGTTCGGTGTTGCTGCAGTACTCAGAGAAAACAGTCCACAGGGGGACAGGCGGGCATAATAACTAAGGGACAGAGGTGGGGGTACAGGGGGGGAGTGAGGTTCAGGTGGAGCCATATGGGCTCCGGTGCTCGGGTTTTGGAGATAAATGAAACAGAATGAGGGAGAATGACAGGCTGTGTTGCTGATAAGCAGGTGTTATTCAATTGCCGAAAAGGAATACTGTCAGACCAGAGAGGCCTGTAAAGACAGTGAGAACATTGCCCACATGCATAGAAGTTGTGGGTAAACTGGGTAGAGTGTCAACAGATTACAACACCAATGCATAAAGTCCTAAATGCAGGTAACATAAAACCATAGGAAGACACTTTATATGTATGGATAAGTTTTAATAGGCCATTTGTAAACATGTACGTCTCTTTCACTATACGCTGCATCTGGTATTAGAAAGAAGTGTGAAAAGCTGTTGCTTTGAGATGGATCTAATTTTCTTTAAAAGACTCATGGTGAGAAAATCACCATATATGAAAGCTAGAAGCCAGTCAGACACAGATGACAGGAAGCTGAGAAACTCACAGCAAACCTGACATGAATGTACACATACATCCATATCATTTGGCAGTTTGTTTCACTATTGCATCATGTCAGCAAACCTCCTCGTTCAGGAACATAGAGCACATGCATCCATTGGGTCTACTCCTTGCAAAATGGGCTGTATGTCTGCGATAATTATTTTCATATAAGCTGATGTATTGTTCCATCTTTGACTCATACAGATGTTTCATTATTCCCCAAATAACCAATTCATGCTTTATTTCTGCTGAGGGCATAAGGAACAAAGCCCTATTTGCTGATTTATAGTGTTTGGACATTCATACAATAAATACAGTTGGGGATTAACTGACTGCAGATCTGCCTCAGATGAAAGATGGAGAAAGATGAACGGGCATGCACTGGAAAGCCAGGACTGATTAATGAGTCAGCAAATCAAAGCCCAGCATTAGATACTTACAGTGTATGGTTTGTTTGTAAATACTTAATATTTACCATTAATTAGATTTGAGTCAGAGCAATTAAATCAGGAGATGTTCGTGATATTAACCAATGCCATATAGGTCGTTATTTTCTAATGTAAATATCTGATTTGGTTACAAAACTAATGATTTGTGAATTATGGATACTGTACTGCAGATGGATAGAGGATGGATAGAGGGATGGAAAGATGGATAGATACAATCCCAGTTCTATATCAGCAGCAGCTAACAGTGGGAACAACAATAGAACAATATAATTAATTGAATGAAGAGAATAGGTCTAGTTTAAGGCTTGAAGGAAAACTCAATTCAACATGGCTTGTACACCGTAAACTATTGTTTGTAAAAAACAATTACGTCCTGCATGCTATACTGTTCCTCTAATCGGCATGTCCTCCTCCTCGTCTTCATTTGGACATACAGGATTTTCTCTGAAAGCCCCGGGGCAATTATTATACAGCTTCAACATTAGCATAGAAACATTGTGACATTAAAAACTGTGATCCAAACAACAGATACTGTATATGCCAGTGCGCAGCTTCATTAATGATATTCATGATTGCAATCAGTAATTCAACTTTCCTTCCGTCAACTCACGGATATTATTTATAGACCTGTCACAAGTTGCAGTTTGTTTGTACTCAGTTGTTCCAAGTTATTTAATAAAAGTACAAACACCTGCGAAAATGTTGACACAAATTTGCATTTTGACTCAGATTTTACAAAGCCAATTACCCTCAGTCCTCGCCTGCTCCCATCACACTGTGTGACATCCTGAGCACAGTGAGCAGGCTCAGAAGGAGACAGAGGAGCAATATGTTTTTCATTTTGGAAAGACTGACGTGCATCAGCATACAGAAATAGTGCTGCATTTGGCATTTCAATCGAACACAAAGAACAAAATAACTCTTTCTGTAGATACACAACTGGCACATACCGTACATTATGATTGTTTGTTATATAGAAAGTACAGTTGTTTTCCTGTTTAGCAGTATACCCCGAAGAAGCGTTTGTTCCTGCGCAGGGTTGAAAGAACACGAGTGCAAAGAATATGATGCTTTTAAACCTCCTTGCTTAGGTCCTGAGGTGTTAACTAAATACATCTGTTTCTTTGTGGTCTAAAAAAGACAAAGAAACAATACTATTTGATTTTTTGACAGGACAAGTAATCGGTTTTAGGTGAAGCAGGGTACATACGAAAGAAAAACAGGGGTTGATAGAAATTGCCAATTAGTTATAATAGCATTTACAAATAAAGCAGCACAAAACTCACACTTTAATATCTTTAAAAGCATTTCATTTTGTCCTCTGCTAACCTCTAAACTCTAACATATTCTGCCCCAATTTGGTGACACAAATGCTCTTTTAAAAGTGGGTGGCATTTTTCCATAATATTGGAGCAACTAAAAATGAATGATTATGCATTTAATAGATTTTCTTTTATGAGTAGATGGTTTTAATAAACCGAAATGGACACAAGCCCGTTATCATCTCTTTATCTTATCTTCTGGCCGCTCAGGTTAGAGTTATCTTGGCTGTTAAGTCTGATGAAATGTTTTTAATGTGTCATTGATTTATTGTATCGAATTATTATCTCAGTGTTTAATATTTGTGCGGCAACACTGCAGAGAATACAAAATGAACAGCTGTATTAATATTGCATCAATGTGTAAAAGTAATACAAGCATGCAGCTGGACTTGAGGGCCCGCAGATACTAACCAAGAAGACTTACAGAGACTGACAGTGGACACTCACTTCAATATAAACCATATTGGTGGAATATAGACAGAAAAATTAAATAAAGTGGAGCAGACAGTAATAGGAAAGTTTAATGTAAGAAATGTTTATGTGCAATTCAAATGTAAGCTGAAGGGAAAGTAATGTGAAACACACGAGGCACAGTTCAAAGGGAAATGATTAAAGAGGAAGTAATGCAATGAACAGGACATCTTTTAAGGTATGTTCTGGTAAAAGAAAATGTAGTAATATACTTTAAAATAAGCAGAGAAAGAGTGTATTTTCCAGAGCTTCTTCCAGACCCTTGTACTCACAGATGAGCTCAAGACTTTGTGCTTAAGAGCAAGACCTCATGTTCTTGGACAGCAACACTAATTAGAGCCGTTATCTTAGAGCTGTGACCTTATGTCGAACTTCTGTTTTTACCTTCAGTCTCTGCATTTTTTCTAAGTGAAGATTCTCATAGCTGCCGCAACCAGTTATGGTAATTTACTTTTGATGTAATAATCCCAATCATTTCTGCAAAAATGTTACGCTCTCATCGTCTCTGTTTTTTTTTTATGACCACCATGTGAGTGACCATGTGAGTGACCATTTTCGTGTCGTTTGTCTTGTACTGAGATAACAAGCGTTGCCTCGCTGTCATGGTGCAGTTATAGCGAAAATAGAATCGTCAATCCCTTCGGTTTCCTTAAGTATGAGGTGAAATGTAAGAACCACTGTAATCAGGGTTGCTGGATGCATGATGGGGTCATGATGCATCCTAGAGTGTGATTAACTGGCCGCGATGCCACAGAGTGCATCATTACTCATCAGGGGGTGGAACAGTGAGGTTAGTTTGATTGATTGTAACCTAACCACACTGTGCAGCAAATACATTGTAGCATATGTCTGCAGACGTTTTACTGTATCAGCTTATATTCAATAAGTATATGCTTGAGCCTACCTATAACACACAGTCAGAGTCACTGAGACACCTTGAGCACCCGCGCTGAAATGACAGTGATTTCACACCAAATTAACAGAGAATAAAGAAGACCAGTACTATAATGTCAGATGTTGGCGCCTTGATGGTTTGGCCAAACATAAAAGGACATCTTCTTGAGCTTGTTTCAGGAGCGGGAAGTTCTTGACTACTTGGGGTGCGTCCGGCTGGGTGAACCTGTCCCTGAAGTGTCTGCTGTAGAGCTACCAGTTGTGCTGGCTCCTGCTTAGTATGGTAATGTATTGAGATGCGGGAAAGGACACTTTTCCCCTCGTCCCCCTTGCTCCATCTTTAAGTCCAACACATTAATTGGCATGGCAGGGGCGGAAGTGACTTGGTTGTAATCATTGTCCCTCAGAGAACCCCACAGAGAGGGATTGAAGGAGAGTGAGATGGGGGAGAGCGAATGAGAGCGTTGGGTCTCAAAAGGCTTGTCCTCCGAGTGATGTTATCCCAAGAGGTGCAAGGAAACAAAAAGGGGGAGGGAGAGGAATTTATGGAACAAGCAGGGAACAGAAAAGGGAGAATCTGGAAAGGAAATTGTGATGTGAGCTCCCCTGCCCCCGGATAAATGGACGACTATAGATGGAATGAGAGGAGAATTGGATGGATGATTCATGTAGGGGATTATGGATGGAGATTGATAGCTGGATTGGTGGGAAAACGGTAGGGGGATGGAGGTTAGGAAGTTTGATCGACATGAAGAAAATGAGAAGGGAAGAGAAGGAAGCGGTGGGTCAGTGGAAGATGTCTGAGGTTGATTGACATTAAAGCTCCACTTGTTGTACTTTAGATGTTATTTTATCCTGTGTAAACTTTCTAAACTGAGAGAAAACCAAACAAGCCTCACACATCTAATTCAAGGAAATTGATTTATTAAGCATTACCCATTTATTTGGCTCATTTCCACTACAAGCCTTGCTGTTAGCGCCTCACAAGTTGAAGTTGTTTCATCCATTTTAAGCACAC